TGTTGTTGTTGTTTGTTTGTTTGTTTTTTTCTTTGCGGAACCGGGGATTGAACTCGGGACCTTATGCTTGCCAGGCAAGGACTTATTCTACTGAGCTATCTCCCCGGCCCCCATCAATGTTGTTTTGATTTGCATTTCTTGAATGACTGTTACAAATTTCTATTGACCTATTGAAAGGAAAGTTAATGTTTAACTGCATGCCTGTCTCTGGTAATCCGAACAAATTTTGAAGATAGCAATACACAATATAATAACCATCATTAATTTCCTATCTTTTTTTTTTTTTTTTTTTTGCAGACCCTGGGATTGAACTCAGGCCCTTGCACTTGCCAGGGAAGCAATTATTCCACTGAGCCATCTCCCCGGCCCCTTCCTATCATCTTGTTTTCACGTTCTATATCATTTTTATTGTTTTTTATTCTCTTTAAAATAAGAAGGAAAGGGACAGATAATGATAAATGAATACATTATATAGTGTCTCTATTTCCATTGTACTGCTTTACATTATTCTAAAGGTTTAGCCATTTGATACTAATGGTGAAATCCATCATTTCCCTTCACCAAAATCTTTGTTAAAGCAGCGTTGAGTTCCTAATACTCTTGGCCCAAATAATGAAATCAGTAAAGAAGTGATTTATGCAGCTTGGTGGCTCTATCCCCAGAAGTTTGTGCAATTATAGAATATGAGGAGACCCAGGGATTGTAGCTATATTAAAAGAAGCTTTTATATAGATCCCACAGCAGGAGAAAGCTTACCCTGTTTGGACAGTTAAGTAGCACTCCTATTTTTCAGACAATTCCAAACTGTTAACATGGTGGTAATTGAGGAGTAATTTGCTATGGCCATTTTGCACGGGTGAAATAGTCAAGTGCCTTTTTTTTTTTTTTTGGTGGTGGTAGTGGGTCATTCATTCAACAACTATCTATTTTTTTGATAGAGAAAAATTGTATCTTGTTTTATTTTTTTTTTTCAAATCAAATTGGTAGGACAGTTTCAATGATTTACACATTGCATACATTTTTCCTAGTGATTAATTGCTGTACAAGATGCGGACATGATATCCTATTTACAAACACCATTAGAACAAATCCCTCCATTCATTATGAGAATGTAACTATATATCTATCCTAACCACTTTGAATACACAGATACAAAATGGACATTCATCGGTATCCCCTTTTTCTGTTAAGTTCTGTCATTTGAATATTATAGGAGCGTTAACTCAGCAAAATATTCTAAAACAGTCCAATAGCCCATAATAGTATTGGGTCTTCTGCTTGACTGGCAATGTCAGAAATTGTTGACCTGAGTCCCCTACAGCTCAACATAACAGCATGGCTTTACTTCTTATACTTCATTTTTATACTTTCCTGCTGGATGGTTAAGACGAAGGTAAAGGAGGACCTATGCAACAAGAGTTGTAGCTTTTGGGTCTGAAAAGGTCAGTGAAATCCCCTCAGGATTTATCCTGAGATCCTGTACCTCAGATTGTAGATCCTTTGTCAGTGTCAGCCATGTGGAAACAACTATCTATTGATGACCATATGGCAGACATTATTCTAAGTCCTGGAGATAGGATGATGATGACATACAAAGTCTCCATTCTTAGATTATGGGACCAAAGAGGAAAGTGATCGATGATGTAGAGTGTGCCTGAGGAGAGTCACATGGAGAGAAAACATTCTCTCAGACTTTCACAGAAAGCACACTGGCCAAGCAATGGCCGTGACTCATCCACATGGCTGACACTGACAAAGGTTCTACAATCTGAGGTACACGATCTCAGAATAAATCCTGAGGGGATTTCACTGACCTTCTCAGACACAAAAGCTACAACTCTTGTTGCATAGGTCCTGCTTTACCTTGGTCTTAACCGTCCAGCAGAAAAATATAAAAATGAAATATAAGAAGTAAAGCTGTGCTGTTATGTTGAGCTATAGGGGACTCAGGTCAACAATTTCTGACATTGCCAATCAAGTGGAAGACCCAATACTGTTATGGGCTACTGTACTCTTAGCGTATTTTGCTGAGTTTACACACCTATAATATTCAAACAACGGAACTTAACAAAAAAGGGGATACAGATGAATGTCCATTTTGTATCTGTGTATTCAAAGTGATTAGGATAGATATAGAGTTACATTCTCTTAATGAATAGTGGGATTTGTTCTAATGGTGTTTGTAAATAGGATATCATGTCCGCATCTTGTAGAGCAAATAACCACTAGGAAGAATGTATGCAATGTGTGAATCATTGAAACTGTCCTACCAATTTGGTTTGAAACTGTCTCATTGCTATTTATTTCTCAATAAAATTATGGGGGAAAAAAACAAAGTCTCCATTCTCATGGTACTTATATCTTAATTGAGAAAGATAATAAATGTGTGCTTTATACATTAATATGCATAAATTTACAAAGTTAATATATAAGCAAAGCAGAAATGAGATCAATAGTGATAAATATGATGCAGAGAAATGAAACAGAGGGACACATGTATGAGTGAGTGTGTTTGAGTGATCAGGTAAGACTTCCCTGAAGGAGATTGACGGTGAGACCTGACATTAATTGTACAGATAAGAGGTAACTGTTCATACAGGCCACAAAGAACTGTTTCTGCATTGGCCCAAACTCTGTGAGTGATTGCTCTGAATTAGGGATGGATCCTCAGAAAACTCTTACTTATAAAACATGCTATCTATAAACTGAAACTATCAGCAACCACCTTGGTATGAATTCCTGTTGTTTTCTAGTCATGTGGTAGTATTAAAACAACAGAGAGGATCGTCAGAGAAGGCTGCCTGGACAAGCAGGGTGGCGTGGTTCACTACTAACAGTAGCAGAGAATGGGTTGAGGGTGGGCACAGGTCTGGGAAAGCAGATGGCCCTTGGGCTCTTGGGGCTATGGACAGTCTTCTTCCTAGATAGATTACCATAAATATACCTTGCCTAACTTCCTCTGTTTCAGCAGCCTTTTGAGAATTCACCCTCAGCCCTTCCCTAAGGCAAGCTTTTTTGGCTCATGAAGAGTGGGTTGTAATTGGATAGAATAAAAAAGTGCCAGAGGCCAGCTCCCTGGCTTCACTGCTGTGGGAGACGGATGTTATGAAGTGGGAATGAAAGACGGAAAGAGGTGGCAACTATGCACGGGGCTTTTGTCTGAGAACCTGACGGCTGATCTTCCTGGGAGCAGTGTACCAGGAATCCTCCTTTTAAAACAGAGACGTCTGAGGGCAGTAAAAAGCCCCTGTCACCAGGAAGAAATCCAGACATACGTATTTCTGAGAACTATCAAATGATGGAGGCTCAGCGCTGTTACTGGGAATGCTGGCAGCCCAGAAAGGGGTCTGCTCCGAGAAAGAAAAGGCCGCAGCAGTGCGCTGGAGGAGAGCTATTTGCAGGCTGAAATCAGCTACCAGCCGCTTCAGCAGAAGCAGCAAAAGGAACAGGCAGCAGGGGGCAGAACTACAGGAAGGCAGAGGAAAACACGAGGGCGAGGCACCTGCGGGGGGTTGGGTGGGGGGGAGCCGAAGAGCACAAAGAGCAAGGTCACCCCGATTTGCACCAGGCACAGAGAGGCTCTCATAAGGGAGTAACTTGTGAAGGTTTCTGCAACATTCGAAAGAGAGAGATTCGGGCTCTCAGGCTCCACAGAGGCAGAGCTGCTTGCTAGTCGCCTCTCCGGGGAGCCCTGCCAGCCTGTTGGAAACTCAGCACCTTTCTCTGTTTATCTAAAATGGGTATCAGACTCTGTTCACGTGCATATTCATCTCCACTTCCATCTGACTGAAGGGATCACTTTTTTATAATAAAGAAATGTGAGGAGGTCTTTGTTTGACCAGAACTATCTAAATCCAGGTGTCCCTGCAGGCTGAGTGCTGATGGCCTGGTCGAGTAGCCACTCTCGAAACTCACGGAGAGAAAAGCGGGTGCTGCCGTTGCTCGGAGCGGGGGTATTAGTCATGACATTCTAAAAACAATGACGCATTGGTTGGTCCTCACTCGCGGTACAGAGCATTGCGTGTGGACATATCCCGAGACTAGACGGAGTACTTAAGGGTAGCGATTCTACAGTTAGCCTCTTCTTATGAACTATATTTTAAAAATGTATTCTTAGAAGTGTTATCACGTACATTTTATTTGTAACGTATTTATTAAAATTGATCAACTTGGTGAATAAATATTAGAGTGCAAACACTCCTTGTGAAAAATTGAACCATTATTATGCTGTAATTCTTTGCTGCTTCTTTTAAAAAGCTTTGAGGTTTGTTTTCGTAATTGGTTTTTTAATTTGGAAGCAAGATGGGACACTCTCCCGATGAATGCAACTGACATCACTGGCCATCCTCCTTGGTCTCTTCTGGTCACTTCTCTAATCAGAGTCCTTGGCAGAATCCTGGTGTCACTCAGTGTGAAAGTTGCGGAGCTGACAAGGACAGCGACACAGTCTGCAGCCCCTCCAACCCTCTCGCCACTCTTCAGGGCTCCATGCACTCTGGCTTCTTCCCTGTCCCTCTGCTAGCAGCTGCACCCGAGCTTGTGGCCTTGGGTTTGCACTTAGCAGAATGTGCTTTGCTAGATATCGACGCAGCATTTTCCCAAATGCCACCTTTTCCTCCCCTTCTGCCCTGACAGAGCTAATTAAAAGTATGATTGATGGACTATTTTAGGATGATCTCATTTGCATCCTGTCTCAATAAATTCAAGTGTAATAGAAGATAGCAGTCACTACTAGAATAAAGAAACTGAATGTGCTGTAGAGACCTGGCTACAGCAGCATTAGCTGGTGCCCTCACCCAACTTGCTTGTGACCCTTGAAGACTGGCATCTTCCTGGACATAAGAGGCACAATGTTCTGTCCACTCAGAAAACATTGTGAGATGATGGGTATCATACACAAGCACAAGGCATGCACCCAACCCAAGGCAATCCATAACTGGGCACTTCCTCTTGAGTGGAAATAACATCATGAAAAAGAGAAATGAAGCCCTTGGGCTCACCTTTTAGACCACAGAGTCCACACATGGCTGCAAATACTGTAGATTCCATTTCTATATTCCTAACACCGGCTTCATAGGCTCGCTTCAAGTAATCCAACTTCTTTTCTCTAGAAAAAGAGCACAATGCTCCATCAAGTCGACCTTGGCCTGCAGGAGAATGGAGATCCTGGGTTAGCAACCTGAGCTCTGTCCTACCACACGGTAGTGGCATCGCCATGAGGTTTGCTAACAGCTTTCTCACTTGAGCCTGCTCCTCGGGTGAGACAAAGCTGGCTGCTGACTGTTCCTACCAGAAGATGACTGCCTGTGCCAATCTCTTAAGTAGACAGAGTGTGCAAAGCCGAGTGCCCCATTCTGGGGCCAGTGACCAGTGAATGAGTGGTGGCAGCAGCTGACACTGGGCCCAGGGATATCAGAGAGTAAAGGGTGTTCCTGAAAGAACTGAGCTGTCCTTTAAGGAAAACCTCAGCCATCCCTGGTGCCTGGGGTATGGCCCAGGGAAAACAGGAGGCTCCACGCCTCTAAGACGTGCCCAAGGTCAGTGAGGGTTGGGATGACGGGCTGGCATGGCAGCTCTCCGCTGGCCATCGTGAGAGTGAGGACCGGCACAGGAGACCAGACTGCCCGCCTCCTCCCGTTCATACTCTTTTTGGGCTTTGGGCCCCCACCCTGTGCTCACATTTTCCTCTCTAGATGGCTCCCAGTTCTCATGTGGCAGTCACTGCACCAGGATCAGGTGGTGGGGACAGAGCAGGTGAGTGACACGTGCTGTTCTCACTCTTTCACCATGTGCGCACTAAGAAGTGGAACTTGACCGTCCCCACTTCTAGGAAAGCTTAGCTTAAAACACAAGGGCTGCTAACACCCTGCCGTCATCCATTACGAGCAGTCCATCTTGACCTCTTTTTCCCTTTGCTTTCCTTCCCTCTAACTCAGGTTGTTTCCACCCTGGCAAAGAGCTTCTCCCCATTGTTTCTCTTCCCCTTGGTACCGCCTGCCAATCCCACCAACACAGTGTTACCCACATTGATTCAACCACACGTTCCAGAAGCCGAGCACAGGGTGGGCCTCATCTAAAGCAGGTAACCCCACCTGACCCCCAGCATATGTGGCCCAGACCGGGCCCAGAACATGCCAGGCCTGTCATGTATATTGTATATTTTTGTTACCTTATGCTATTACAAAAAGCCAAAAATATGGATTTTTAGACGAAATCTCTAAAAATTACAAATACTAAAGAAATAACTCACATTTAAAAAAATAGTATCCAAACCAAAAAAAAAAGAAAGAAATGATTCCACTGGTTTCCCTTTGCAAGCTCTGTCTTCAAAACTCTGTAGGTCACCCTCTGGCTGAAGGGACAGCTGACCCACAGCCTAGGAGAGAAGCACAGACCCAATGCCCATCCTGTTTTATAACACATACATGGTTAAACACCTTCACTATCCTGAAGGATAAAGTATATATAATGCAGCTTATCTCAATACATTTGTAAAAATTCAAAATAACACCTAAGTTTGATCCAGTGGGAATAGAAAAATTACTCATATGAGCATAACTACACTAAGATTTCCTGAACGCTCTCCACAGCATGGTACCAACCCCACGACAATTTTTTCTTCTGTCAACTGTTTTTTCTTCTATCAAGGTCAGAACAGGGTCTGACCTTGCGTGGGTTTTTGGTTATTTTGTTTGTTTGTTTTTTGGGTTTTTTTTTGCATGTGTACTTGTTTTCCTTGCCCCTCATCCCTTGGAGCAGGAGCTGCTGCTTGGCAGTCACCTTCGATTTGTATGTAAAATTGGTATGAGGACTTTTTACTCATACTGAGGTAAAAGCACAATACCGAAACCATTCCACCCTTGTGGGATGTGTTCCCCCAAATATTTCCCCCCATTTCTTCATCTCAACCCTTACTTAGTTATTAGGTTCTTTTTTACATACAGGTAAATGCCAGAAACACAGTGCATACATCCCTTCCCCTGGAGTCACCAATTTCAGCTAAGGGCATGAACAGTGATTTTGTCAACATCACCAATTGCATTTTACTATTTGATTTGCTCTTGGAGGATTAGACTTACTACATATTCATTCTGCATGTTCCTCTGCTGCTTATGAGGTCCTTATGTCACTATGCTTAAAAGTTAAAAGGCTATGGCAGTTCCTTTTTATAATCCATCTGTATCAATTTTCTAAAGTAGAGTTTTTAATGTAAATGACAGGTTTGAGTAACAGTTGATGGAGTTTTGCTGTTGCCTTGACCATTTGTAAATTATTCTCACCTTCATAAAAGTCATAGGTACACATTGTGTGTCCGATGAGGGCTGGGAAGTTGGGAATTTTTTTGCTGCAGTTGAACAGTTCTTCCGCCAGCTCCTTGTCCAGTTCAGTACTTCGAGTGACAACATTGTCCAAAATTACCTGCTCAAACTGGGGCTTGAAGAAGGAGTCTACAGCTGTGTCCGTTATTACAACAGACCCGGGTGCAATCCCTGCAATATGGTAACAAGTTAGTATGAAGGAAGAATATCATTTAAGGTTTGCTTTCGTGACACATAGTAATAACCTATTCTGCCCACATTAATCAATGATAATTGCTACAGACTCCCTGTTTTTGTCTTTAAGGTTATTTTCTCTTCCAAATGCAATTAAATAAGATTCAGAGCAGGCATTTCCATTTGCTGTCTTTCTAGATTCCCACTTACAAAGTGATGGGGTTTAGATTTCAAGACAAACATGACTCTTGGACATGTAAATTAGTACCAGTCTTGAGGCTCAATTTGAATAAAGTGGGTCAGGAACAAACTAAATGAGCCTGCCAGCAAGTAGCTTTCATAAAATGATGTGACTACTTGATATTTAATCTTCTCTGCAATGCCTTGATTACTATAATTTCTTGGCATCTTCTTCTGTCCTCGCTTCTCTCTAATTCTCATCCCATGCGCTCAGTCTCCTCCCTGACTCCATGTAAATTAGGCTGCTTGGCTGACCTTCCCCGCTCCGGAGTGTGTCTCCCTCAGGGCACTCCGCTTACGGGTGAGCTGTGTTCTGTCACTCTTACTCTGCCTGGCTGGACTCCATCTGCACCCTGCCCGTACACTTTCCTCAGATGAACACTGATTTGTCTTTCAGGTGGCAGCTTCAGTTACTTCCTTCAACAGGCCTGAGTCCATGGAGGACGAGCCAAACCAATAAATATGTAGAAATAAGAGGAAACACGGATCACTTGAAATATCACCAGGCCACCTATGACTCAACTTTGGATTTCTCCTGACTTCCATTTGAATATTGATTAATGAAATATTTCCTATCATTAGAGTACCCCAAATACTCTCTATCTTAACACTCATACACGTGTGTGTGTGTGTGTGTGTGTGTGTGTGCGTGAGTGCACACGTGAATGTGTGTAGTGCTGGGGAGTGAATCCAGGACTATTACACTTAGTTACATCACCGGTACTTTTATTTTTTATTTTGTATTTTGAGACCGTATTTTGCTAAATTGCTGAGTTGCTCAGGCTGGACTTGAACTTACGATCTGCATGCCTTACCTCCCTTTTTACAGCTATATTTTTGATTTTCATTTTCTTTGATAGAATTCAGGTTCTATAAAGGCAAGAACAATATCCACTCGCTCTGTCTCCACAGGTCTAGCATTGCTCCTGTGGCACTGGAGTTTCTCAATAGAATATTTTTAGATTAATAAATGCTGCTATAGAAGTGTCATAGAGAACAGGCATGCAAACTCCAGTCCACAAGCAAAATCCCAATATTTGTATCTTTGCAAATAAAGTCTAATTGTATCATAGCCACATACATTCATCTAAATACTGTCCTTTGCTGTTTGCAATCTTCTGTACAGAATTTTAAAATTGTGACAGAAAACACATGGTTTGCAAGCTTAAAATATTTACTATCCAGCCCTTTGCAAAAGTTTGCCAGCCAAAGTTAGGTAATAGACCCAACCTGAGCGATATAAACGCTAATACTGATCAAAGTGACTTAATCGCAGAATATTTTAGAAGACCCAGTGGATGACCCCAGATGGCCTCTGAAGATAGAGCTTTAATGGATCAGATACTTTTTACCTAAGTTGAACAAGTGGCTCCCTGAAATGTTCAAAATATGTTCTGCCTAGGAAAGCAATTGAAAAGGAAGTTGAAAATGAGTACAACCAAAATGATGTCATTTTGATGCCATCTTAATATTTACATGCATTAAAAATGTATTTCGTGGCTAAATTCTTCAAAGGGAAAAACAGTATTTTACCGAGTGCCTTATTAAGGTGTGTTCACTCTTTTAAGCAATGAGAATGTCAGCAAAGGAAAGTGCATGCCTCTTTCATCTCCGAGTGCAATATTGCTTAAAATAAAACAAACTGGTGCATCTTATTTATAAGCAAAGAATTCCTAAGGAGGACATAACTTCAAAAATACAGATGTTCTCACCAGCACTATGGATTAATGTGCCACTATTCATAGGCCTTCATTTTTGTGGAAGACCACCTGGGAGACCCTTCTTGAAAGAAGAGCAGTTGTCTCCATGTTGGCTGAGCCTGACCCTATTTCCATGTATTGATATGTACAGAGCTGGCTAGGACTTTTCTTATTCCTTCAATTGGCTTTAAGCAATGCGCATTGGTCTAGTGGAGGTGCTGGTGGTAGTCGTTGAAGATGGCATGTTTGTTTCCCAAGTAAACCTCACCTGCTGCTCTTTAAAATGAGCCCGTGGAAATGGGACAAAGAGCCAATACTCCATGAGGCTGTGACTGAACCTTGAATTACAGGCTATGACTTCCTGGGGCTTGATAGATTATGCTGAAGCACTGGACCCCAAAACAATAGATACTAGCTCAATTGAGTAATGCAGGTTACTCTGTGCATAGCCTTCTCTTTGCATATTGTAGAGGTAAATGCAGGCCTCCTTACCTAGCCCAGCTCACAGTGCTCACCTCCTTCCTGTCATTCTCAGTCATTCATCCTCAAACCACTCCTCCTTCCTGACTAAATAAAACCCGAGTTGGGTTCTGCATTGAGGCCTTTGTTCCAGATTTAGGCTGTATTTAGGACTTCTTGGCTCCCCATATCTATAAACATGCTTTAGTGTTTTTATTTTCACCGTGGGTTGCACTGGAAGTGGTAGACTGGAATTAACTTGATGGTCTTCCAGTACTTGTGATTTTGTTTCTGTCTGTGCGTGGTATGGATAATGTTGCCATGAAATAAAAGACTGTGACCATGAGGTGAAGTCACCAGAGTGGCTTATCCATACTGGACACTCATAACACCAACTGGCAAAGCACTAGGCAGGATGGTACTTCTGAGGACGTGCACTGTGAAAACCAGTACTTGTATGCCACAACCCACGTACAATGAGAAACTTCAGTAACGGTGCTACCCATCTCATTCCCAGATGCATTGCTCCCTACTTTTTGAGGTACTATTGAGTTAACTACACTCTAGAAGAGTCTGATCCAACTCTAATTATTTACATTTTCCTATTCAGTCTAGATAAATATGCACAGATTTTCTTTCTCCTCTATGTAAGGGGCCTTGGATGGATTTTATTCCTGGATCACTGCCTGATTTTAGTGAAGAATGGCTGATTGTAGTGACTTGTGATTGGACATACCACTTCTCTAGGTTGCTTTGGTGGGGTTTTTTTCTTTGAGATTTCTGAGATCTCTTCTTCCAAAGCTGTATAATTTTAAGACCTTTTCTATTCCCAATTCTCAGTCTTTTGTGTAATGCGCATTTAATCTTGTCACTCTGTCAATCAAACCTTTCCAGTTATGGTGACTTATTTATATTTGCATTTGGTGACATGATAAATCACTCCCTGAAAAGACCTGCTCTGTAAGAAAGAGCTGAGGGAGGAAAAGTTTTCTCTGTACTCTGTCTCAGCACAATTTGGAAGCCTAAATCAGACTTGGCTGCTTGCCCCCACCAAAGAAGAGAAGAGAAGATCTGGAGGGCTTTGGGATAACGTTAGGGAACATCACTTGACCTTCTCTAAGAAGCTCACTGTGGTCTCATTGAGGTACTGATGGGGATGAATACATTCAGGCCAGGGATGCAATCACTCAGACGAGCCAAAAACAATTGTTCCCTGAGTGCTCAGAGCTCTGTTTACTTAGCTAATATAACAGCTGAATCTTTGTAGCTTCTTTACCTAACACACTTCTGTCACTTATGCAATTTCCAAACTTCAAAACTTACTTTTACCCTCAAAATGTTCTCTAGCACTTCTTCTACTGAGCCCCAACTAGACATCTGAGAGCATTTGGGATTAAGCAGTAATATCTCTTCCTACAGCTTTCCATGGAGAAAAAAGAAAAGAAAAAGGCAATGTGGGTAGATTTTCTTACTTCTCCTCCTTCAGCCTGCTAACACTTTCTAGCCCATCTGCATTTCTGTTGGGCTGTATGTTGATGCACTTTGTATGCATGTAAGCATATATATGAGAATCACTTAGTTTTAATGGTAGAACCAATCCATCTCACCTATTCCCCCTGATGTACCAATTCTGATAATAGTAACGTCACAGCACCGTGCATGATGTAGTAATTTGATAAGTTCATGAAGCATAATGGAAATTGAGGGGACACCCATGCCATGCTGTCGAGAGAAAAGAAAAAATCATTATACATTGCACAAATGGATACAGGAACAGGACATATTTTCTTCCTTCATTACAAGTTAACAACCCTCAGATAAATTTACATAACCATTAAAACTTTGCCAACAGTGAGGAAAACGTAAGTCATCTCTAATTGACGCCTACATGACATACTGATGGATGTGTCCATCTGTGAGGATCAGAGAGAGGCATCTCACTGCCAATTAAACAGAGCTCAGTCCTCGTTGTTAAGAGCAGAAGATAGGGATGGGGTGGTATACTGGTGCGTCAGGGCAGTACCATTTCTCATTTCACCATGAGGTTCTTTTCAGTGATTCTATGTAGAGTTTTTGCACAGCTGATTTAGTATGGAGGAAGCACAGTTTTAGCTACCTTGTCACCAGTGCTTCTCCAACATAGTAAGTGAAACGATAGAACCATTTCATTGTGCTCATGTAGCCTTCTCCACTTACTTCTAATTCTACGTGATCACTGAATAGTTCTAAGGAGAAATGTGATGCGGTTCCCACCCAAGAATTTGCAGCCTGTACTGAACATATGGGTGAGTTTAAATGGCCACAGCTCATGATAGTAGTTCTAGTTTTCTTCAGTATTTTGATCAGTAGCATCAATGTCATCTGACCAGGGATCAATACAAGACCAGAAGATTTAGCAACTCTTGGTGACTACATTATGTTCTAGCAGTACTTTAGAAAGCTCTTATGTACTGTCATTTGTGAAAACTTGATCTCGGTTTCATATTGGTGATTACTTCATTCCTCCTTTAAGAACAGAGAGTCAGGGGCCGGGGAGATGGCTCAGTGGAATAAGTGCTTTGCTGGCAAGTGCAAGGGCCTGAGTTCAATCCCCGGTTCCGAAAAAAAAAAAAAAAAAAAAAAAAAACAGAGAGTCAGTGGTTCATCCATGTCTTCTACTCGTGGGCACAGAGTAGACTTGGAAAAATCACTGGAACTGTGCCCATCATGTCTTCATCTGAGTCCTTTTCTTCTCAACATCAAGAACGTTAACCAATGAAAGCTCTGGACCTCATTGGGCTCATCACTTTTGGACCTCTTTGGGCACATCACTTTTGGTCATCCAGTATGTCCTAATTTGCGAATGCCTCATAAGCCTCCCGAAGCCAGGAATCAAGTCTGCATTGATTTGTGTGTTCAAGATTAATGAGTGTGGGATGTTAGCACTGGCTCTGAAACTAATAAATAAACAAAGATCTTCAACTATAAGCTAAGATGATTGATTATTGTTTGAACTATTAAGCTCCTTCTAAATCAGACACTTGATAAGTTTAAGATTATCACTTATTTCGTGACATAGCAATAAAATGACAAATAAACTTACATATTTCTGTTAAAGTTATGCTCTCTCTTACACACACACACACACACACACACACACACACACACACACGCGCGCGCGCGCGCAGGCTTGACAGCTATGAGAGTGGAGGAAGTTTCACAGGGTCCCCATTGGGGTTCTTCTGTGTGCCTACCAAAGGCCATTTTTCACTGGCTAGCCTTGGTATGGTGCATATTTCAGATCCTTTTCCCTGATAGGACAGGAGGATTAGTCTGCTGCTGTTTCCATTTCTTACCCTGACAGTCTACTGCTCATTTATGGAAGTTCTCGTTTTTAATAAACCTTACTTTTCTGTTCTTCCCCATTTAGTGTGCACAAAACAACAAACGGTTGTAGTTTAAGAGACCAGCAAAAGCCACCACGACAAGATTTGCTGGGATCAGAGGACATTCTGCTTCCTTGTATGGTAATGCAGATGATCTGTAGCTATCGACTGGGTGAACACATTTGAGCCCTGAAAAGGTTCCAGGCACTCTGGGCCTGAAGGGCAACCAGCTTGGCTGTTCTGTTGGCTCTGTGCACTCGTAGCTTTGTTGGCCTGGGCTTCCAGCCACGATCACCACATTCCACCCCTGGGCTCTGTGCACAATCCAAGTGATGACTGCATGCCAACTGTCCCTGGTGTAGAAGCTGCTTGCAATCAGCTCTGTAGAACTGTCACGCCTCTGTAGGACTCTGCCCTTATGCCTGCCTGTGTGCATCAGGAGGGCTGTGCTGTCCAGACATGTGACGGGCTCATAGCTGTTGCTTCAGCATCTTGCCCTGTACAGAGAGAAAACCTGGAAAAGGCGAATGGGGTGTGTGCTCTCAGATACCCTCTTGGGGGGGCATCCCTTTGGGAAAATGCTCTGCAAATTCCCTAAAGCTTCAAATCATTCCACTTTCAGGTTTTCTTAGAATAGTGCATGTCTCTGGAACTGTTAACATATTCTAAATGAGGGGAAAGCGATTCACAAGGGCTTGTTGGAAATGCATCAGCAGCTTTCAGAAAGCTTATTTAGGGTGAAAAAGCCCTGCTTTTACTCCTCCTGAAAATTGGCCCCTGTGTACTAAAAACTGCACATTCTCAAAGCTGGATAAGAGAGAGAAAGGATGGATGTGGAAAGACATCAGTCAGTCACAAAGCAAAGGAGGGGTGGCGAATGAATGCCTTGAGGGTCTTTTTTCATAACTTGAGTAGCTAAATGATGACTACAAAGCAATGCTGCATGCTATGCTGTGCCCCAGACTTTCTCCAGTATCAGCTACCATACTGGAGACGTACCCTGACACATAGTTTCATTGTATAAGAATGCTAAAAGAGGGGGGAAAGAATCGCAAGCAAGGGGCAGGGGACATAGTTCAGTAGAATAAGTGCTTGCCTGGCAAGCACAAGGGCTTGAGTTCAACCCCTGGTTCTGCAAAAAAAAAAAAAAGAATCACATGTGAGATCCTCACTTTGTCCCCCAACCTGTAAGGACCAGCAGACCCACCACCACCGCTCACTTACACTGATGGACAGCACTGGGCCGGTTTTGAACATGCAGTATCTGTCAGTTCCAGCACAGATGTCTTTAATGTCTTCTTCGCCTTCCACCAACCCAAGCTCTTTGTGCATGAACAGTGCAAATGCTCTCATTCTGTTGGGGCTCCCACCGACGCAGACAAACTGTTAATAAAAATAAACAGGTACCTTCCAGAATAACTGGAATAAGGACTCAGAGGAAGCTTTCAACTATAATGTTTGTATTTTAATATTCCATTAGTTTACTTAAGAGAATGTGGAGGTGTCATGGGTTATTTTCACAAATTAGTTAATGTATATCATTAACCTATAAAGAAGGCAAAAAAAAAAAAAAGGCAAGCAGCTGCAAAGTTTTATATACCAAATTAGTAAAGAAAAACACAATCATCCTAAATGTTGATATTGTTCAAGGAGTTATTTCCTGGCATTTTGTTGATGTTGCTGTTATTGTTTATAGTAATATCAGTCAGCACCTTAAATTGATATAATCAGCCTAGTGTTGGGGATTAACATAATATGTGCCTAGTTTGTAAGTACTGAGGATATGGAATGCAACTAATATGAGAACAAAAGAATCACCAGTTTTATATGTATTTTCTGATTAAACATCCCCATCATAAGCTTTTATTGGAAGATGTGCTATGATAATTTTAAGCTATAGAGAAATCACGAATCACATCAAGACTCCTCAACTTCTTATTCAGAAGAAACTCACATGGAACAGGCCTTATTATAAATTGGAATTTTGCTGCAGTGTTTCATCCATTCTGGTTATTTCTGTTTGTTTCTGTTTTATTCATATTTAACATCTCTGAAATTAAGATAGCTGCTGCAATCTCATCTAATAAAATGTGATAATAAATTTGGCAGTTTCTTCATGCAACAGAATGACGCCAGGAGAACAGAGCAGTGTGGCCTTTTGGTGGCCAGCTGTGTGAGCACCGGAGTCGGTGTGGAGAAGATGAGCAGCAGCATGCTGTCAGAGCCAGGAGGAAGCAGAGTCCACAGATGGCATCAGACGCAAAGCCACACAGGACCCCCAGCTCGGAGGTATGGTCGGTGCACGGAGGGTGAAGACATTCCAGGATGAAGAGAAGGCCAGAGTGGCCAGGGGCCTGCCCTGGGAGGTTGGCAAACTTGGCTTTGAACCTCAGCCGCTCACTGATCAAGCAACTTGCTCCATGTTCTGCATGTAATCTCTGTGCCTCGGGCCATCTCCAGAATGGAAAACACAGCAGCCCTAGGGGGTTCACTGGGTGAAATGTGATTGCAAATAACAAAGGACATCACTCAAAGCAGGCACCTTCTCTGCATCCCATAGGTGGGGAGCATCATGCTGTGTAACAATTTCATAGCCCTTCTTCTGAGCTTGCTCATCATTTCTGTACTGCAGAGTTTGGTACAAATGAAGCTGCTTTTCAGTCAGTGGTACCTGACTAATGTGGCCACATTGGGCAAAGGATCGAAAGAGAGCCAACAGGTCCTTACAGGGACAAAAATCCATCTAAGAAAGTAGCGGCCTGGTGCGGTAGAGTGGGCCGCCCATTCACAAGAGTGACCAGCTGTAAGAATTGGGTGGTCTGATTACACCATACATTCTGTTTTCATTTAGCAATAATTCCTGGGCTGCACACACTCATTCCCAACTGTGGAATGTAATTATCCTTTCCTCCAGCCCCTCTGTTTCCGATCTACCCTTGCTACTATCTTTTTTGTGGCTTCTTAGGCATTTCTCTGATGGGGCCTTAATCCAGAAACAAACTGCAGTGGAATTCAGCCATAAAGGCTGGGTAGCAAAACGGACAGGACCATTTTGTAAGGTGACTATTCCAGGCATTACTATTTGTACACCTTTCCTCTCTGTTTGTGTGGATAGTTAAATTTTGGCTCAACATTTAACTGGAAGAAGACCTTTTTATTTTTTAAGCAAAATATAGTAGTTTGAAAATACTTCTCTGTGTGGTACCAGGGAATGTAAATTACAACATTTGGATTAACCATACAACCAAAACAGATGTTAGGGTAACTTGTTGTTTGAGTTCTCTTTGAACTATAGATATGGTTGCAATCAACAGGAATTTCTGAGTATTTCTGGAAACATAGAGATGATCTGTGTAGACAGGAGCAGCTAGTTCTTGCAGACTTCTCCCCACACCAGGCTTACTACGCATCACCTCTAGACAGCTTTCAGTCTGGCCGCTTTAATGAGAAGCAAAACATGCTGCAGGACCACCAACCAATGCCACCTGCAATGACAATTACTGTGATGTATGTTCCAAAAACATTATCTTTGTCCTGGCTTTATTACCATTTTATATCCTTTAAAAAAATTTTAAATGCATTAAGAGGACATCAAAGCCCACCACAGAAACATGTTATAGACTTTGCCTCCTGACTGTCAGAACAAACTCACTTTCAAATATCCCCGCTATCTTGAAAGGCTTCACTTTGCCATTTTATAATACTCTGCCACATAAATACAGCTTGTATATTTTGTGTGGTAACACAGGAGTATAAACACCTTCAAAATGCATGTCACACAAAGTTTTACAAGGAAATGACTTTCCATGGAACTTTGAGTTTCTGGGGCTAGATTACAGGGGTCCAGGTAATGACTTCATATGATATTCCAGAAGACATCATAAAAGATATATTTGGATGCTAAGCTTGAAAAATAACTCCTAATCGAGATCTTCCACGATAGCTCTCAGTTGTCTGATTCCTCCCAGGGAGTATGGTACATGCTAATGAGACATTATCCAAAGCTGACCCGGTTAATCTTAGCTTCCGGGGCTCCCTCTGGGTTACATGAGGCCATCGTTAAGTCCCAGCCCCTAGAATATGAGAAGATGTTCTTGCAGTGCAGGCCCAAGAAGGTACGCTGGTGCTTCTCCATATCTTCTTCCAGCTGCTGGATGGGGACCCAGAGAAGCTGCAAGCCACTTCCTAAGGCCAACCAAACAAGACAGAATGGGCCCGGGTTGCAGAACCACCAATTCGAAAAAAGCCATCGGCGAACTAGGCACAACTGTCCTCCACTTAATGGGAGCAAGACGTAAGCATACAGGGTGCAAGTCTCTGAGTCTGCAGGGACAGGTAGCATCGCAGGAAAGGCATGAAGGCAATAGCAGACTTTGCATGTTCAGAATTCTCCTTTCTTTAGAAAATAATGTTGATAATAATGATCATCATTTCTTTGAAGACAAGGTTGAGTTTTCTGGTACAATAGATCATGTCCCCTAGCCAGGAGGGCTGTCCTGAGATTTAAGGGGTAATAAATTGAACCTAGAGTGTTCTCAGAGAGAAGACCGGCTAGAGGGAGACAAGGTCCTGAGAAAAGCAGCTGTGGAAATAAATCATACTTTACCTGCTGCCTCCAAAACATTGGGGTTTTGATTAAACAATGAGTTCTGATCGTTTGAAATCATGTCACCCGCTCCTCACCCTACACATACACACACACCCATCTATGCATGCATGCGAATGCACTTGTATGCACGCGCGCGTGCGCACACACACAATTTTGTCTCCTATCAAAATGGCCCAATCAGTAGAATTGCTCTTTGGAAGGCTAAAACTGATTGTAAACAGAACACTCTTTTAGGTAAAAGTGAGTCTACTGAAGTTCCTCATCAGACAGGTGCAGAGTTTGTAAGTCTGGCTAGGAGTTCTGACAAGAGTGAGAAAATCAGTGCAGGTGAAAATCCAGTCAGGCAGAGAAGTAGAGAATGAAGGCCTGGGTCCCGGGATTATAGCAGAGAGGAGGGGTGTGTGTGTGTGTGTGTGTGTGTGTGTGTGTGTGTGTGTGTGATTATTTTCATCTTTCAAGTAAGCCCATTGATTTGCTAGAAATTAATAAAACACCAAACAATCGTGTCTTTTTTCAAACGCAAGAAGAATCATTACTTTTTTCATCAGAGAAACCTAAAATTTAGTCCGAACTCATTCACTCACCAGCTGTGTTGTGCCTATTATTAACAAATAAATATTTATTTTGTATAAAACTATGTATTTGCTTGAACCTAGTTCCTTCATCTGGTAAAAGATAAGAGCTCTGTAGCCAACAGTAAGGACTGAATAGTGTACATTGGCAGGGACTGTACAGAACAGACACACGGAAGGCGCTAGAGGACAGAGACATGCGACAATAGATGATATAGTCTTCAAAGTATACACTAAATCTCTTTAACTTATTAAGTGCATGCACAATTTAGTTTTATAATTCTGATTAGCATTTTACCCTGTACTGTATCCATGTCCGCTTGCTATGTGATTTGCTTCCCCATTTGGTCCTGAATTTAATCAAATTTACCTGAACAATGGTACTTGTAATCTTATTGGTTGGCCACAGTTTTGTCCCACCTCATGCCCACCTGATGCATCCCCATAGACCTGCCTCACCTCATGGTTTCATTCTATAAAACCCTGAGAAAAGGCAGCTTCTCAGGCAATCCACTCTGACCCCTTCTTTCCTTCTCTCGGACAGGAGCTTTCTTTCCTCCAATAAACACATTGCGCTCTTAACAAAAATGATTAGGGTTTTATTCATCGAGATAATCCCTAGATAAGGGGCCTGGGAAAACCGCTGTGAGGCAATTGCTCAGTGAGTCCTGGGGCATGGGTGTCAGGAACAGCAGTGGGGAAGCAGAAGCAGAGGGCCACGGATGCCACGTGACGGCAAGGAGAGGGCCTCTGGAGCGGACCCGGAGGGGCGGTCACGCTGCTGCTGGCCTTCTCCCTACAGCCTTGCGCGCCGGTCTCCAAGACGAAGCAAGGAGGTGCTGCGTGGCACCTTCTGATAACGAGCTGAACTCAGGCCTTTAGCTTGCCAGGGGAGCACTTATTCCACTGAGCCATCTCCCCGCACCCCCAGGTCAATTTCTTTTTTCCCCTTTATTTGCCTTCCTTTTCATCCCATTCCTTCCCTCCCTTCTCCTCCTCCTTCTCTTCTTCCCAGCCTCGTCTTCCCCATCCATCATCTGAGTAGTGGGCAGTCTGGGCTTACCCTACGCAAAATGCCCCCTGATGCATTAAGCAAGAGCCCCAGAAACTGGACTTGAAAGAGGGTGGTCTGCGCCCACTCTGTGCCTCCCGGGTGCAGCTTGACCCTCTCCGAACTGTTTCCTTGCTTTTTATGGAACAGGTCAAGATCTGCCAACCTCAAATCAAGGACTCAGTGTGACAATTTAATGGGACAGCAGGTATGAAAACTCTATTTGTATTCTTATAGTTGCTAAAACGACCAGGGGAAAAGACTAAAAACTGCACAGTTGCCCTCTGATGGGAGAGTAAATCCATATAGGCCTTTGGTTTTCTTTTCTTTAAAAATTCATTCCCTTTGATCGTTTCTGTGAATCATCCCAAACCGGCTTAAATGTGCCAAATCCTTAGGGAAAAAAATGGTCACTTAGGTCTTATTTATAATCCCAAATCTTTTAACATGAAACTTCCTAATCGGTTTTGTAATTTATGGCACAGCCCCTTTACCTCAATGAACACTGTGTTTCAAAGAAAATGTTATAACATGAGAGAACATTAATGTGATAAAGTTCAATGAAAACTGCAGGATTCAAAGTTATATTATTTGTAACTATTTTAAAATATATTCATTAGGGGCTTTGAAATAGCTCAGGACACTAAGTGCCTGCTTAGGCAAGAGCAGGGATAGGGGTTCAATCCCCGTCACCACATACTGCTTCGGCTCCACCCCAGGGCTCATGGAGTCCATTTAGTCCCGGTGTGGTAGCACATGCCTATAATCCCAGCACTGGGGCTGCTGAAAACAGGAGGATCACTATGAGTCAGAGCTGTGTACTGAGATCCTGTACAAAATACCCTCAAAAAGACACAAAAAACACTAAACTACAAGTTAAAATATAAAGATTGAAAGAAAAAAAAATGAAGTGATAGTCTACTTGATTTAGTGTAGGACTAGGAGGTGTGTTTTTTGAAAAAAATCATTATTCTTTTTTATATTATCTTAATTTTATTTTATTTATTCATTTTTTAAGAGCAGAATATTTATTGGGGAAAGCTTTTGTCCAAGAGAGGGACAAAGGGGGGGAGGGTCTTGAGTGGGTTGCTCCAGGAAACTGTCTCTTCCAGGGACTTTTACAGTAAAACCATGCTGTAAGGTGGGTCTAAGACAGAAAACATGGGAACTCGCTTAGGCAGGCATGAGGTGGGACAAAACTATGGTCAACCAATGAGATTATAAGCACCATGCTCAGGTAAAATTGATTAAGTCCAGGACCAAACGGGAAAGCGAGTCATTTAACAAGGGGACATGAACGTGGGACAGGGTCTCCTCCTGTTGGGGGTTGGGCTAGTGACTCTTTCTGGTTCTTTCAAGGTGATTGATACCTATTTAGAATATCAATCCCTGATGCCCATCCCTAGGGAAGTATGTGGTAGCATTTGCTTACTCTTTTCTCTTGAGATCTGGCCCAAAGCAGGACTGTCTGTCTCTTCCAAAGTTGTAAAGTCACCTTGTCTTCCAGATTATCTCCTTGAGGGCCTGGCCCTGTCTAACTGCCTATAATATTTCTATCTAATTTAGCTGCCTACAACATTCCTCCCTCTGAAGAAGCAACCATGATATCTGAACTGCTGTGATATCTTAATTTTAAATAATGCACATGAATTGTTTTTATAATTAAAATATATAAGATAAAGTGAATTGTACAGAAATCCAATTTTCTTGGTAGCATTATATGAAAAATGTTCTTACGAAATAAAAATTCTTAATATGAAATATTGTACAATGATTATTTCCAAGAAGTAGAGTAATATGGTATTGTTAGTCTTGTTGAATTCTTTTATGATTTAATAAAATGAGAATTAGTGAGGTTCCACAGTAAATGTGGACATTAAGTACTGAACTGAACCTGTTAAAACATAATGAATTCTGAGCACCCAGCAGTACGGTTAATAAAGCTGCATTCATCTCCGGGAGGCTGAGTAGCTAAGTAATCACGCTTGCGTTGGATTTAGTCTGGGCACCTGTTCCTTGTTGGGGTGGAAACAACTGCGCGTGACATGTGCTCTGCAAGTTGTTTCAGAGAGTTAGTACAGCTTTACCTCCTATTGACACCTCTGACGTGTTTCTAGCCAAGGGTGTGAAGTTTCCTTCAGGAAAGTAAGAGAAACATTAGCGAAAGAAACACAATCACTTTCCTTCAGTTAGAGCTTTTCTTACCTTGACGTCCCCAAACATTTCTGGTAGATTGTGTGTTTTTGTTCCTAAATCCAAGTGATACAGGATGTCTTCATCCATGGTATCCAAGTAAGGATTCTTAACATGAACAAACCTTTTCCTGAAAAGAAACACACATATCCTAAAGAGGATGTAAAGAAATTTGGAGAGAAAACACAAGAACCCAGATAGCAGACTACCGCTTTCCTTGCCACCAATTCAGATAAGTGACACAGCCTTCTTATATTTCAATATGGTATAATAATGACAATAATAATATCCAATATTTGCCACGTACTTACTGTGTGCCAGGCATGGATCTAAGCATGGAAATGGCACAGTGACATGCAACTGCATGCAATAGAAACATTCAGTCAACGGAATGTATTACCACTGTAGTATGAAAGTGACATCAGTAATCTGATTTATAAGTGCAGAAGTTGAGAACCCTGAGTACACACTGAATAGTCACCAAGCAGTCATCTCAGTTGCAGTTCGTTTTGCTCCTCTTGGTCTTCTTTCTCTGCAGGGAAGAGTGCTGAGTGCAGTCTCCCGAGCTCTGGAGTCAGATTGCATGGGCTCCTGTACCAGTTCAGCCACGCAGATACTAATTGTGGAAGCTGGAGTGAGTTACCTTCGTTCTTTCACTTCTGTATCTGCTGGCATGCTGTCCCAACCTCTGAAACAGGTATCTGTACCACACCTGATGTACAGTGAACGTTGAGCAACCAGATCTCATTGTACTTCCCAACATGGTGAATCCAACGAGTTTTAGTGAGACAGGCCAGAAAGGGAGGGTGGCAAAGAACGCTAAAAGTCTTTTATTTGGGCGTGTAGCACATCTAATTCTTTTGCCTCCTGGGCACATTGAAAAATATTCCCACATATTCCCATTTCCCTATCAGAGAGATGAAGTCATATGATTGAATTCTGGCAATGTGGGCAGAAGTGATCGCCCACTTCCAGGCATGGCTCTGGTGACAGGACTGGCCCTCGGCAGCCGTGGAAGTGCACACTCCTCCATACCAATCAGCTGTCTCCATGGAGCACAAACCACTGGTCTCTTACACAGCATCAGGCTGCCTGGCCAATGAGAGGTGACTAGCTTTGGTCAACATGCTGAGACATGATGTTTGGCCCTTGAAGAGATTTAAGTGAGGAGTAAAGGTAGCAGGATGACGAGGTAGAAGAGAAGAGGTGAGTAGGCTCGCGAAGAGACTGAATTTGAGTATAACAGGGGCAAAAAGAAAAAGAATTAATGGGCAAATAATTCTGGAGAAAGAAAGATTTAGAACTAAGAAAAGAAATGCTCAGGGACCGGGGAGATGGATCAGTGGAATAAGCGCTTCCCCGGCAAGCGCAAGGACTTGAGTTCAATCCCCGGTTCCACCAAAAAAGAAAAAAAAAAGAAATGCCCAAAATATTGGCTGAAAGAGAAAAAATGTGGCTTAAAGCAGAATGACAAAGTGAAAGACTAACCTCAGCAGAAACCAGAAGAACACAGAACTGTTACAGTAAGGGAAATTTACAAACAGGAAGTGCGATGAGAAGTATTCTTCATTGTAGACACTGTACTGCTGAGCAGCATTTTTCCACCAGACCTCAGAAAACACAGAACAGGGTGCCCAAGAGCCAGTGGAAAGACATGCTTGCCAAAACGAAGGGACCCTCTCTGGACAGCCAGACAGCGATTCTCGGTGCCAGCCAGGCCTTCGGCATGGTGCGGCTCCGCGGCTGCCTGCCCGCTCCCAGCCTCAGCCTGTGGCTGTCAGGCCCTGGCAGCCCCCAGTGTGCAGCGCTGCGTCTGTCCCAGGCTCACGCTCCTAGGGTAGCGCTTCCCTGTGTCCTGCTAGGAGGACTCCTCCTACCTCTCTGCATACTTCTTTGCCTACCGCTCAGCTTTCCAAGGGGTTCTGCGCATCTCTGCACCTCAGGGTGCTTAGGTATATACACTTTCACTCCTGTAGTCTCTTTCAGCTCCACAGACCAGTGCTTTTTAAAGCTTGTTGTGCCTAGGAATCCTCTGAACAGTGCCTCTTCAGAGACCCTGACTCAGAGGCTGGGTGTGCATGTCCCTTGTACAGCTCCCCACTGTGCCCGTGCTGCTGCTCTGTGGGACATACTCTGAGCAGCGCTGCCTCTGGGAACTCCACCAACCGTGCCGATTAATTGCCTCTTTTGCACCTAGGGCCACCGCCCCAGCCTAGCCCTCAGTGTGGCACTGCCACCCGACTGCCTGTCTTTCCTCTTGCTTGGTAAAATCTATCAAATGAAGAGAGTAGCTGCTGCAGTGGAACAGGCCCTAACTCAGTCTAACTCATATTTATAAAGCACTTGTTTTACTGCCTTTAGTTATTTAAATACTAATTATATACTGCTCTAATTATTAGTGAAGATACATTACATACCCTATACCACAGTGGGGCTGCATATCTGCCAAGAATCATCTTGGACTTCTTTTCTTGCTCCCATTCTTAAAATGCTTTAAAACACTTTAACAAGTTTGTGAATTTGTATATAATCTTCAGTAACTCTCACCTCGACTGCGCATTCAAGTCACTGAGGAGATTTTTTAACAACACTGCTGAACAGGTTTAAATTAATTTACAGTATCTAAAGGTGTTTTTGAAATCTTTCCGTATCTTCCCCTGTGTAGAAGAACTCCCACTCTAAGCCTTTCTTCCTGAAATGCCCTTCCCTCTTCCCTTGTGTACTTTACCTGTCCTAATCCTATGCATTTACTCTTCAAAGTCCAATTCAAATATCACCTCTCCCACGAAGGCTTTCACAGGCATCTTCCCTCCCCTATCAATGTTATGTTTCGCTTTCACTCTGTTTCTAAGCATGCGTTTTATGCTGATGCTGTTGGTGTTGCAAATTGTAATACGGTTAAGTTTTTGTCTCCCTGGAAAGACTGCAAATTCCTTGCTGCAAGCTGTCTCATGTAGCTTTCTTTAATCCCCAAATCTTAAATCCTATTTAATGTAAATTTAACTGTTCAGGAAGTGGAACAAGATACTATTAATTTCTTCCTCAAAACATTAGAAGCAACATACTTAGTGGGCCATGCCTTGATTAAAAAAATAAAGTTTTTCATGGTGCTGCCACTTTGCTACTTCAGAGCAGGCATCTTTGTCTCGAAACAGGGCACTTTCTTTCTTCTTCTGTGAGAGGTAAGAAGACACCTCCCCGCATACCCTCCTGATGTGAGGGGCATCACAGATGCAGCAGGCAACAGTGCCTGGGGAGCTTCTAAGAAATGCAAACTCTCAGACCCCACCCTAGACCTACTAAATCACAATCTACATTTTAACAAACTCTAGTAATTCACATGCATATTAAAGTCTTAAAAAACATTACTATCTACTTTCTGTTCCAAATTCAATTACACTTTCTATTTCGCTCTCTCAAAACTATTTTTATGATCTAGAGATCTTCATTTGGAGTCTCACTAAGTCTACAAATCATTGCCCTATAAAAGAATCTCATTCATCTGCTCTAGTGATTCTAAACATTCGCTGCACATCAGAAGCACCAGGGGGACTCTAAAGAGTATCAATAGCTGAGCCCCATCTCTAGTTTCTGATTCATTTAGTCAAAAAGACTGAGTCTTTGATATTTTTTTAAAAATAACTCATCTGGGGTTCCATCTCGGACACCACATTCCACGCCGGCCGCATGCCACGCCGGCCCCACCCCTGGGCAGGCTGAGCCGGCCAATGAGACCAGGTATGGTGGTGCACGCCTGTAATTCCCGCTCTGGGGAGGCTGAAAACAGGAGGGTCACGACAAGTCTGAGCTGCATAGTGAGACTCTGTACTAAATACATTTTTTAAAAAATGATCTAAGGCTGGGGAGATAGTACAATGGCATAAACACCTGTCTGACAAACACAAGGTCATGAGTTCAATTCCTGGTACCAAAAAATAAATGAATAAAATAAATAAAATATAACTGATCTATTTACACTTTTCCTAATCTTCAAGTAGAAAATTTCAAACCGTCAAACCAGTAATTAATGATACTCTTTTGTATTAATCATAATACTCCTATTCATTAATGGAGATATTCTTTAGATTTGCTTGTTGTAAATCACTTAATGTCTAGTGCTCCTCCTTGAATACATTTGGAGAGAAGCCTACAGACATTGATTCATGAAAAAGCACTTCTTTTTTTTTTTAAATTTTATTTGTGGGGGGGGCAGCTCAGCCCACCTTGGGGCGGGGCTGGCTGGCATGTGGTGCTGGGGGTTTGAACCGCGGTCCCTGTGCTTTGCTAAGCTTGTTCTAAGTAGGTGCTTTAGACCACTGAACCATCTCAAAAGCACTTCTAAGATGATCACTCTATCACTAACCATAAAAGAGAAGAAATAAGTTCGTTGGCTACTTAGAGTCTTTGATAGTTCCATATGAATTTCAGACACATTTATTCTATTTCTGTGGGGAAAAAAATGATAGGAATTACATTTATTTGTAGATTCTTTCATGTAGTTTAGATTTTACAATAATACAAAATCTTCTACATGTGAAATAAGATATATTTCTGTATGCTGTACTTGTGTCTTCAATTTCTTTCTTAAATATTTTATAGTTTTTAGTGTATGTGTTTTTCAACTCCTTGGTTAAATTTGTTTCAATTAATTTTTATCTTATGCCTGCATGGCGTGTGGCACTGGGGATTGAACCCGGGTCTTTGTGCTTCTCTGGCAGGCACTTAGACTGCTGAGCTATCTCCCCAAGCCTCCTTGCTTAAATTGACTCCTAAGTATTGTATGCTTTTGCTGTATTATTGTAAGCAGTATTGTTTTCAGATAGTTTGTTAGCGTATAGAAGCACTAGTGCTTTGTGCGTATTGACTTTTCTTGAGACAGGGTCTCACTTTACAGCTCAGGCTGGCCTTGAGCGCACTAGGTAGCCCTGTCTGGCCTCTAACTCACAGCGATATTCTTGCTTCAGCCTCCTGAGTACTGGGATTAGAGATGTGTGCCACCAAGCCTGGCTCACAGGGTCACTTTTGTAATGAGTAACTTTATTAATTTTTTTACTTTATTAATTTTTTACTAGCTCTAATTTGGTGGTGGAATCTTTAAAGTAACAAATCTGGAAGCATCACAATCCTTGA